TATATATATATATTTTTTTTTTTTTTTTTAACCCTTCTTTGCTTTTTACAGGGCTTCATTTGAGATCTTAAATTGTTTGCAGCTGTATCAAGTGGAGCAGGGGAAGGGGCAACATCCTGCAGATCAGGCCCTGAAGTCCAAGGGGCTCCTTCCCAAGGAGGTGGCCTTTGCTTTACTGAGAGAAATGCCATTTTGACAGTAAAATGCCCAGAACCTTAACAGCCTGCCCCCACCCTCCACCCTGAATCTCACTAGTAGCTCTCGCTTCCTCTTCATTCTCCATCCCCTAGGATATTTCCCACCTCCAAATGCACATAGAGCAGGCAGGATCTCCCTCAAGAGAAGCAAATAAGCACATTGGCTTTGTTGGGCCCCAGTGTTGTGTACTGGTGAATTGGAAGCAGTAGCCCTGGCGTTAGGGGCCATGGGTCCTGGGCCCCACTTTGTAAATCTTGCCTCTTGCAAGCTTCTGTGGGCCTTAGTTTCCTCATTTGTAATTGATGATTAATACCTTTTCTGGATCCATGATATAATAACTCTGTATAAAACAGAAGAAGTGGAGGTGAAGGTTTTGTGTATATATTTGAAATAGTCACTTGAAGTGGGTAACTTTGGGGTAAAAGCTACGTTTCTGATTTGGTTGCTTGTGAATGTTGGTGCACGAAATATTCTGTGCATTGAGGTTTCAGAGAGGAAATTTGATAGAGCATTTATCCCACAGCTTTGATTCACAATACTTTGGTCTCTTAATTTTATCTCTTCCTCAGTGGCCTTGTTTTATCTCTTGTTGGGGATTGTAGGGGTGATGATGGTGATGGTGGTGTGTGCTTATTTCTGAAGCCTGGGGATGATTGGGAAGAGCCAGGTATGAGGAAGTGCACACAGATCAGCAGCATATCCAGTTTAGGATCTTACCTGAGAGCCAGATGTTCTCCACCCCCTTTCCTTCTGCCTTTTTCAGGATTGAAGTTGTTTTAAAGGTGTACCCTGGAGGAATAGGGGTGGTGTGGTGCATGGAGGGCTATCCCTTATGGGTCCTCTGTGTATACTGCCTTCTGACCAGAAGCACAGGCTCAGGCAACTCATGGTGGCATCTGCTCAGATTTGTCTGTAGAAACTGTCTCCCCATCCTGTTTTAGAACTGCTGGTCAGGAGTGTATGTATGACATAATCCTGATCTGACTTTTGCCTGCTTGTCCTCTTGGGAAGGTATTTGTGGGTACCTGCCTCAGTATGGCCATCTTTGAGGTTGGAAGCTTCCCTGCCCAGCCGAGTAGCCATCAGGTCAGGTACAGGGTTGCTTCATCTCAGACTGGGGCTCAACCTCTGTCAGCCCCACTTAGTGCCAATTTAGGCATCAACAGCACCCCAGCCAGTGGTGTGGACTGATGGCATGTGTGCGTGGGTGGGTTGGCTGTCACTGAATGTTCAAAGCCAAGTCCAGTGATCCTTTTTTTATGCCTTTGAAGAGAGATGAATGTTTTTCAAGCCTGCACTGCCACAAGTAGGTCAACGCTAATTCAATGAGAAGTAGAGAAGGAAGGTCAGTAGAGGGAAATGATATGTCGAGAAAGCAGCTTAATTCTGACTCTTTTGCAAAAAACAAAACAAATCTTCCCATCATACAAATATAGCACATGCTTGTTATATAAATTGTGGAAAGAACTGAAAAGAGGAAGGATAATAAAAGACCCCATGTGTCTGGCCATCCAACCCTGTGCCATATCTTGGCCTATTTCATAGCTGCTCAGAGCCCATTTGGTTTTAGAATTGTAACTGTACCGTGTATATGCAACATGATGGTTTCTTTCCACATGTCCTGTGGTGACCTGCTAGTGGTGTCTCAGTTGGTCCCAGTTGTTGTTCTGAACATTCCAAAATGATCCTCTGGCTGCTTTTGCATCAGTGGGCTATAGACTCATGTTTTGAATTTGGGGTTTTTTTTGGATTTTCTGCTTTCCTGTTTCCTTCCTTTATTTCTGTGTTAGGATTGAGACCCCTGAGCTGTATTGCCAACATTAGAACACAAGGTATTAGGGCCTCAGTCCTGTTAGTCCCTACAGTTGGGCTCACTCAGTGTGCTCTGGTGTGCTCCCTTGAAAGAACCTGAGCAGCACTCTGTGTCCAGCATGTGTTAAAGTAGGATTTGGTAGTGCCTGGTGAGAGTGTCCTTTGTTTAAGCCCCAGGTGTCCCTGTAGAAGTTGAGATTTTGATTGTCTGGCCTTATGGCTCTGGCCTTACTTTTTACTTAGGTGGCCAGCCTGCTTTCCTAAGGAGGCCCACCTGGTTGAAATGAGCCACCACAAGAAGCAAGCCAGAGAGCCCTGACATGATGTACAGAAAAAAGGTCCTTGAAGGCTGCCTACCAATGCACTGCTACAGTGCCTAACACCATCAGTAGATGTGACACATGGGCCTTAGACCCCTACAGTGCTCTGGTGATTATAGCTGCTCCGTGAGATTCTTTCTGTTCTACTTATGGTAACTGAGAAAACAGATATTGAGGGTTGGGGTGGCCTAGTCTTGAGCCTGTTGTCTGACCCCACTGAGGATTGACCATGAGGCTTTGGATGTCCTGACAAAAGAGGCTCCTGGGGGCATCCTGGACAAAGCCCTATCCCTCTCTGCCCTTTCCATCTTTATCTTCCTAAACCTAGCAACATGCACAAGTCACCCAGTTGGTTCTTCTTCCACAGGAGGGGGCTAGAGGAGTCCTTAACCCAAATTATGATGGCACAGGTTCTTTCTTTTCAGTCTCAACCCTTTTGTAGAAAGTGGTGGTCATTCATCATGAGGGATGGGGGAGTGCGAAAGTGTCCTTTGTTTAGAAGTTGGCCCTTCTGATCCTTTGCCCCTCTCTGCTTGGAGAACCAAGGTCCAGAGGGTGAGACAGAGGAGGACCAGGTCTAGAGGAATAAAGGCCAGAGCTGCAAGGTGGGGAAGCCTGGGTCACTGAGGCTGGCGTGTCTTTAGATGGGGTAAAATCAGAGATCTGGGTTGGGTTGGGACATTGCCATGGGTGGAATAGGGCTTGCCTTGAAAGAGAATGGGCTACAGAGGTTTTTGGGGCACAAGGGCTCTGTGTCCCACGTGAGCTATAGAATTCAGGTTTAATCTAAAAAAAGCAGGTTTTCATAGTTTCGTGTTTGAACTTTGGAAAAGAACCCTTGAAACCAATAGGTTTTACCACCTAGATGATAGAAGTTGATGTCTATGAAGAAGGATCGTAGTTGAGTGCATTGCTTTTTGCCTAAGATGCCTCTACCTTTGGGCTCTGTTGCATCCACGAGATTCAGAAGTCTTGCTGCAGATGCCCAGTGTTGTCCTCAGGACTGCCAGATGCTCCTCTGTGGGGCTGGGGGTAGGAGAATGAGCACAGCATTCTGTGCCCTATTCCTATGAATGGCCCATAGCACCTTAGGATCTGAGCCAGTTGTCTTGATCTGTGTAGTGATCTGCCCCAGCAGATATAGGCCTTCCTGCTGAGAAAGATGGAGCAGTGCCCTCACCTCAGTAGAGGCCTCAATCTTAACTGTTTGCCCAGGGCATCTATTGGAACAAGTACCAGGCACCAACCAGGGGAGGCCCTGCCCCTTATTACCATGTCACTGGATCACATACTGAATGTCTGAGTCCTCATAGTACCTAGGCTCTGTTGGGCTCAAGAGCCTCCAAATTGCATGCAAGCTGGTTATGGGCCTGGTCTATGGTGAGGAAAGATAGAAACTCACTGCCCCAACCTCCAGCAGTCCTTGTAGTATTTGTGCATTGCTTACGTTTGATGGTCCCAGTGCCATGCCCTGTGATCCTGGCCAGGTCTGTGGCTCTTTCATTCTGCATGCCAAATAACAGCAGAGCCATGCGCTGTGATGTATCTGCATAGGGTTGTACTTGTCCTGGGCCTTGGGAGGGCATGTATACCTCTTGGCAGGTGGGGGCATCGACCCTCTGGAGGACCTCAGTTGGCTAGGCGTGACCAATGGAGGAGCAGGCTGACCATCTTCAGGAGGAGTACCTTTTGAGTGACTGCCTCATCCAGCCACAGACTACTGGCCAAAGATGAGGGCACCCTCAGTGGTCATGGTCACTGAGAAAGCCCTGAGTCTGCCATCAATGGAAATTGAAGCTCTTCTCATCGTGGCAGCCTCAGGTTCAGCAGCTTAAATGTGTCTTCTTTGTGCTGGCTTGCTGCTGACACTGCTCCTGTGTACCACAACCTAAGAAGGAGGAACATGGAAGAGAAGAGGCCCAAGTGCTGAGCCCAAGGTTGGCCTGCCACAGGAGAGCTTCAGTGGAGCAAAACCAGGGCTTTAGGTCATTGCCATGGAGCCTAGGGGCTATAAGATGAAGGCTGGTACCTGAAACCTTACTTTAGTGCAAACTCAATAGGGAGTTCATAGAAATAGCTGAAGCTTGTCTTAGACCCAGGGTACAAATCAGTGTTAGAATATGCTTTGGGTTTGTTTGTTTGTTTGCTTCTTTGTTTTGAGACAAGGTCTCACTATGTAGTTCAAACTGCCCTTGAACTCACTATGTAGCCCAAGTTGGCCTCAAAGTCACAGCAATCCTCTAGTCTCAGCCTTCCAAGTACTAGGATTACAGGAGTATGCCACCATACCTGGCTAGAGTGTGCTTAGGAATCCCCTAGGTACCATGCACATCAACATGTTTTAGGGTTAAAGAGCTGAGGATAACCCAAATGTGACTGCTGCTCTGGGTTAGGTTTTGTTTTGTTTTGTCTGAAGTGGAGTTGGTGCTTGGGATGCAGCTTAAAGCATTGTTGTGCTAGGCAAGTGCCATACTGTTGAGCTATGATGCCCTATCCCCCATTTTTTTTTTTTTTTTTTTTTTTTGAGTGCTTGGGATTGAATTCAGGGCATGCTAGGCAAGTGCTGTGCCACTGAGCTACTCCCCTTCCCTGATGCTAGTTCTGGCCTTGGTCTGGTTTCAAGAATACTGGTTTCCTCTGTAGAATTGACGCTGTTTTATTTTTTTGTAGGATGAAACAGGTGCCTATTTAATCGACAGAGACCCCACCTACTTTGGACCTGTGTTGAACTACTTGAGACATGGAAAGCTGGTTATTAACAAAGATCTTGCAGAGGAAGGTACATTGTCCTTTACTGCACAGAGAACTTGGATTTGGGGCTGGGTACTATAAAGGTGCTGATAGGTTGACCTTTGTGCAGACATTTCAGGCCAGAGTCATGTGCTGAGCAGCATGCCTTGAGCTGTGTCTGGGCTAGAATTTTGGGTACCAAGGTCCTATGCTTCCTCTGAAGACAAGGCCCATGGCTCTTGGGTTGCTTTGCCATGATTCCTATAGGTCTCTTGGGGTGAGGCTGCTCAGTGGCTTGACAGGATTACTGTGGCCAAGGGTCACTTTGTAGACACCCTTTTCCAAATGTTTGGTTAGTGCTGGAGATGTGAATGGTCTCCCTGCTTTTTTTCACAGTGCAATGGTCTAAGGCCATGTGTCACAGATAAACCTATGGTGTGAGCCTAGGGGGTCTCTGCCTGCTGTTGCTGGCCACTGCATTGCTTCCTGCCTGGTCACAGAGCACAAGACACACTCCTTTATGTGGGCCAGCCAGGAATGTGATTCGTGCTCATAATTTCAGCACTTTAGGAGGCTGAGGCAAAAGGATTACAAGTTCTTCATGGGCAACTTAGTGTCTTAGTGAGATCTGTCTCAAAATACGAAATTTAAATAAAGAAAAGCCAGTGGTGCCCTAGAAGATTCTAACTCCTTTCTTGGACCACTTGGTCCAAACTGGAGTACACAAATTTTTTCCCTTCACCTCCTTCCCTGTCTTCATTTCTTTTTTCTGACCCTGTTCTTCTTTTGTGCCAGGGTACTGTCCTGTCATCTGGGCTTTTGCTCAGTTTAAACATGGAGACATGGCTCTGCCTGAGGCCTTGAGGATGTTTCTTGTCCATATCCAGCGGCAGCTTACTCTGTGGGATACCCTTTCCTTCTGCCCTGTTTGGACTGTGCAACTCCAGGCCTCATTTCCCATAACTCTTCATCTTTCCCACATCACTGTGCATTGTCCTGTGCTGTTGTGGCCTAGAAATGACTTTGGAGGGACTGATGAAATGAGGCAAGAAATCCCTGTAGCGGGACTATAGGAATCTACCCTAAGTTCCTGGGAGATTTCAAGTTTCTGAGTATGGAACACTGGTGGCAAACTTCGGAAAAGGCAGTAGAGCTGTGGGCAGCCCTCCACCAGCTAGCCTTCACTTAAATAGGGAAACTGAGGTGTTGAGTGACTCCAACACACACACCAGGGTCTGGTGTCCTGGCCTATGATATAGGATACAGGTCTCTAGGCTGCAGAGGAAAAGCACCAGTCACTCCCCAGTGTCTGTAGGATCAGTGCAGTTTGTCTGCTCTGCACATCACCCGGAGTGATAATGCGCAGAATGTAAACATTACTGTCCCTCATTTTTGCCATCAGCCCCTGCTGAGCACTGTGAGCTATAGGTCTGTGATGACATTAGGATGGACTAGGCATGGGGATGAGGACAGGTGAGAAATGTTTATTCCTTAATGTGGTAAAAATCTGTTATTTTCCTCTATTCCAGGAGTATTGGAGGAAGCAGAGTTTTACAATATCACCTCACTAATAAAGCTTGTAAAGGACAAAATTAGAGAACGAGACAGCAAAACATCACAGGTGAGACAGTGACTAATGTGTAGGATATTTTCTAGTCCTGTGTGTGGGCACAGCTATCCCTTCTCTCTGCTTTCCTGCCCTGTCCTGGTGCTTTTTACCCCCTCTTAGCACCCTAAAAAGAACCCATGTACCTCTGCCCAGCTCAGGGAGCCATACTCTAGTGGGAAGAGATAGAAAATATAAGCCAACATAAATGTCTCCTTCTTTAAAAAAAAGAAAAGTAACTGTGTGGAGGTCTGTGGTGGAGAACACTAGAACAGAGGAATTCTAATGATGGAAATGGGAGAGCTGGTGGCCTATGGAAGGGCATCCTGGCAGGGGCAGCAAATACAAACGGCATGTCACCATTGTGGCTGGAAAGAGGACAATAATGAGCTGGGAGGTGGACAGAGCAGGAACTTGGATCTGTGCAGGTACCAGGAGGATGTGGGTTTTCCTGAAGAGAGTGATTGTGCTTAGAGGTGGTACCACATGCTTTCTGCCAACCTTTTTGGGGACCATCACACATGGCCATAGTTAGTGGTTCTACTGCTGCCCTTGAGGCTAGTGCTTAGGAGCCCCCTAGCACCTTCTGGGAAGGAAGCACCAATCAGTCTCAGGCACTGGTCTTGTCATTGTGCCAGGTCTGCACTTGAGATTGGCTGGATCTATATCTAGGAGAGCAAGATGGGTTTTGGTAGTGCTCTGTTTTCAACCCTGTGCTGCCCTCCCACCCCCATAATGGGCTTTCCCACTGCACAGCTGGTAACCCTGAGCCAGAGCTCTTTGTCCTATAAAGAGAAGCACTAATGGCTTGACCACTTACTGTCTTGTCAGTCACCAGGCCAAAAGAGAGTTGTACATGTGACCTGCCATCAGCCCTTTCCTCTTTGCTGCAAGCTGCTGAGTACCAAGGAAAGGTCCAGGGAGGGCCTCCTTGTCTGCAGGGTAGTAGACAAGTCTAGGGCATTCCTTGGCCCCCTCATTTGTATGCTTAGCCTCCTTTTTACCCTTCATCCCACAACTATATGACCTGGGCTGCATTGAAGCTTCCTGTGTTAGTTTCTCTGTCCACCCAATGAGGTGGGAGAGATTGTCTTCACAGGTCTAGGCCTCATAGTAATATGAGGCAGCCAGTATAGAGATGAAAACACCTGGAGACAGCAAGGGCAACATGTGACTTTGTCACTGTGTATCACTGTCACAAGTCACTGCAGAGTGTCAGGTTAACCTGGACACTCATTTGTATGAGTGCTGTATGTGCTGTCACCTCCCGATGGATCAGCTCTGGGAGGGCGAACCCAGGTCTCACCATGTGCAAAGAGTCAAATCTATTGGAACCCAGTACAGGAAGTCCTCTGGGGCTCTAGGAGACAGTTTTAGTAGTACTGGGATGCTAGGGCTGTATCTGAGTTGTGGGATGTGACAAGAGCTTTACCTAGGTGCGGGAACAAACTGTATGCAAGCCTTCCGCTGGGTCTTTTCCAGTGGTCAGCACTGAGACCAGTATGGCCTCATATGGAACAGAGGCTGATGTTCCTGTGTGTTCACATTTAGCCAGCCACAAGTGCTCTCAGTTATGTGAATTATTTCTTTCCAATTTAGAAGCGGAAATATTTAGGGAGGGGGACAAGTATGAGGAAGTGGCACATAGGAGCTCTTGAGATTTGGGTTAGCTGTGTAGGTTTGTGCAGAGTGGCTGTGGGCACTGAAACCTGTGGGACTTGGGCAGGGTTCTTTGGCTTGGGTGTGAGGTGTGGCCTTTGTCCTTGCAGGTACCTGTGAAGCATGTGTACCGTGTGCTGCAGTGCCAGGAAGAAGAGCTCACACAGATGGTGTCTACTATGTCTGATGGCTGGAAGTTTGAGCAGGTGATAGGCTGCTGGCTGGGGCTGCTTCTCCAAGAACCATTGAGGAGGCTTCTGCCTCAGGACTTTCCTGGAGATTGTTCCTTGATATCCTTAAGTCCCAGGGGACCTCAGCCAGCTCCCACCCTGTGCCAGCACAGTGACTGTGGAATTTGGGGATGGAGGTGCAACTGTCAAGAGTCCCACCACCTTCCAGGGACTGCTGTGTGCTGTATTGGGCTCTCTTGTGTGTGGGGCTCCCTGATGGGCATTGGCTGGGCATTGGATACACACAGGTGGCTCTCATGTCCCTGCCCTCCTGAGGGCTCAGGTGTGGGGACCTGCAGTGTGTCTCTCATTCCCAGAGTTTATGTTGTCCCTGGCATGTGACCCAAGAAGAACCAGACACTGAGAAGCTGCTGTCATCAATCCTAGATCTGTGACCTGGGTTGTCCTTATTTGAAATTGGTGTGCTGTGTCCTCTTTTTCTGTCTTGTGACTTTTTGTAGGGAATGGGAAGAGCATCCCCTCTTAAGACCAGCTTCAGAACTTTGTCCTCAGCTGTCCTGAGTGATCCTAAACCCATCCCACAGGACATATCTCCTCCACCTTGATTTTGACTTCTGTACAGTCATCCTTGGCCACCACTTTCATGCCACCAGTTTATCCTGGTAAAATCCCAAGTGCCAGTTAGGCATGGAGATGCATTCCTGAATCCTAGTAGTCAGAAGGCTGAGCCAAGAACATCACTGAGTTCGAGACCAGCCTGGGCTAAACATCAAGACCCTGTCTTAATGAACCAAACCATAATAAAACAAAATATCCAAGTCCCTGAGTCCTATAATCCAATAAGGAGCATTTTTTTTCCCAAAGCAAGGCCAAAGGTGTGGATGGATAAACAAGCTTGGGGGTCAGGTTTTTGTGAGATGACCAGATCCAACTCGGAGTTACCCAGCAAGTGATGAGAACAGAGACTGTGACAGATGTGGGGAGATGTGTTCCCTATCGGTGTCCCTGCAAATCCCCACTGCCTGGACCAAGGCCAACACCCTCCTGTCTCCTCACCTGCTAAGTTAAGTCCCACTCACTGTGGGAACTGCTGTCTTGCTTCAGGTGTACAGCTAACAGGATTTGATTGCAGTTTTGAGTGCTCTCTGGCTCAGTAATTCTCCCATTAGCATTCTTGTTTGTGTTAGTAAGTTTCCTTCTAACTAAATTTGTGGGTTTTTTTTTTCCCCTTTGGTACTAGGAATCAAACTCATGACTTTGTGCTTGCCCAGCAGGCACTTGTGCCGCTGAGCTAAATCCGTGGCCCTAATTTTCTGTTTAAAAAGACAAAGCACTTGGTAGCTGTAGGGTAGCTTTGTCCTAGATGTATGGCTGGACAACAGCCCAATCCGAGGCTCCAGTGCTTGGTGTTCCGAGGGCTGTAGGGCAGGTTGCAGTAGTGAGGCTGTGCCCATAAGGCACAGCTAGTACCTAGGTTGAGGTCTAGGAATCACAGCTCTTGCTCAGCTCTCCTGGCCCTCAGAGCTACCTGATTTCTACCTGCCTTCCTACCACTGCTAGGCATATCCTGGGGTTACCTGTTCTGAGCTAGGAAGCAGAGTCAGTCCACAGAGGTCCTGCTTCCCAGAAAGGGTCTGCTGATGGCTGTAGGGACAGGCAGAATGCCACAAGCAAGACCTCATAATGTGTATCGCAAGATCTGGCCTCTATTGCCTGTTGCACTCTCTGGAGTAATCAGTCGGTGTCCCCTGTGTGCCTGACTGAGAACTCTTGAGAGCAGCTTAGCAACCCAGAGGGCAGAACCTGTCCTGGCATGTTGTGATTGAGAGGTGGCACAGGTGTGCTCTTGAAGGTGCCAGGAGTCTGCTTCCTCTGTCAGAACTGAAGCCAAAACAATACCAACTCCTGAACCTTGAGTTGTGTTACAATCTTGGGGCACATGTGACCCTATGTCTCCCTTTTAGCTGGTCAGCATCGGTTCCTCATACAACTATGGAAATGAAGACCAGGCTGAGTTTCTTTGCGTGGTCTCCAAGGAGCTGCACAATACTCCATACGGCACGGCCAGTGAGCCCAGCGAGAAGGCCAAGGTGAGTGCTAAGGTAGCTACTCCCAGCCTTTTTCCTGGTAGGCATACTTTAACAGGTTGTGCTTTGAAAGTGCTTCCTAGTGCTACTTCATTGTATCTTGCTGTCCTTGCTAGGCTTACAGGGGGCTCAAGATAACCTGCAAGGCTGCCTGATTTGGCCAAACAGCTGGTTCTGCCACCAGATACTGGTCTGTGCTTCATCAGCACATTAAAGAGCTGTTCTTGCAAGTGTCCCCCAGACCTGGGGCAGAGACTTCTTATGTTGGGTCTGCCACTATGAGTTGCTCTCTTGGGGGGCCCAAGGGCCCACTGTTCCCAGGAGATAGGCCCTGATATGGAAGAGGTGACAGCCCATAAGCTGGAGTAGGTTCCCAGTGTCAACAGCTGCTTCAGACATATCTGAAGTATGTGTAGTTGTATGAAGAAGAGTATCTCATAGTCCTACTGTTCTGGTTTTATTTGTTTTTGAGACAGGGTTTTACTATGTAGTTTAAGGTGGCCTTAAACTGACTGTATACCCCAGGGTAGCTTCTACCTTGCAGCAATCCTCCTGCTTCAGCCCCCTAAGTGCTAGGATTATAATCATGTGCCATCATACCCAGGTCCTGCTCTTCTGCTCTGTGGGGGCTAGTTTCATTATCCGCTAGGAAGGTGGTGGCAATACAGAGTTTGGCCTGGTTTGTTAGCTTTCCAGATTACCCCATGGCCTTCCCAGATGTGATCATTTTGATGGCATTTCCTGTGGGCACATTTATCCAGCTGAGGCCCCTGGGTGGACAGATGCACTGGTTTCTGCACTTAGGTTGCCAGAGACCCAAACAGTGGAGCTATACAGTGATTGGAGTGTTCTGTAGACAGCTCAAGGTGACCCAAAGATCTGCGGTGAGACTTGGCTTAGTCAAGGCACTGAGGGGCTGGTTTGGCCTTAGTCCTGGGCCCACAGTGAGTTGGTGAGGGCCACAGTGTTGCTGAGTATGGTGTAAGTGATGCAGGAAGAGACCAGACTTGGAATGAAGTCCTGGCCTTGCTTCTCTCTCTCTCTCTCTCTCTCTCTCTCTCTCTCTCTCTCTCTCTCTCTCTCTTTCTCTTCTTCTCCTTCTCCTCCTTCTCCTCCTCCTCCTTCTCCTCCCCCCTCCCCCTTCCTTTTCTTTTCTTTTCTCTTTTCTCTTTTCTTTTTTTTTCTTTTTGTAGAGCTGGGATTTAAACCCAGGGTCAGGTACTCTGGAGTGCTCTGCTACTGAGCTACATCCCTACCCAGCCATGTGTGTATGTTACTAGGGATTGAAGCTAGGGAGTATTAAGCTCCTTTATTTTTCATTTTTAGTTTTCAGAGACAAGGTCTCACTACGTAGTTCAGGCTAGCTTTGAACTCACTACGTAGCCCAGGCTAGACTTGAAACTTGCAGTGATCCTCCTGCCTCAGCTTCTGAGTGCTGGGGTTACAGCATGTGCTATCACATCCGTCCCACAAGCTGCTGTGCCCTGAAGCTAGCCCCCTGTGCTCACTGGCCTTTTTGTCACTGTCAACTTGAGGCCTCGGATGGTTTACAGTTGGGCAAGCCCCATAATGCTCTGCAGCAGAGAAAGCTGGGGTCTGGTGCCAGGTCCCTATTAGGCCTACGATCCAGAAAGTGCCCTCCACCTCCCTGAGAGACCCTGAGCCAAATTGAGGGGAAACACCACTTTCTATCTTTGAGCAGTGACAAGCCTCTTTTATAAATTGTTTTATTTTTAGAAGCTTTTTATTTCTGAGCTTACGGCTCACCAGGGCCCATTTCCTCCAGTGGCTTGTCAGCTGCAGAAGAGAGACATTCTGTGCTATGAGGAAATGCCAGGCATGACCCCAAGTCCCCTTGCTGTTGGAAGTGTGGCCTTGTTTCTCTCTCTAAAAATATCTGGCTCTGAAGTGGTACAGCTTCGCCAGCTTCTAAGTGGGGCAGAGGCAACTTGGAGGGAACTGAGATAGGGTCTAGGACCTCTGGTAGCCATGTAGTCATGGAGGCCAGATCTGGAGGGCAGTGACTTGGCAGTACCCTACACACAGGCTATATGGAGCAAGGTCACAGTTCCGAGGGCAGCAAGTCACCTTGGGGCCTGTGTCTGTGACTGAGGCCAGTACCTGCCCTGTTCACACTGAACCTTGTGCCTTAGTGGCCTCTTAACATTTTACCAGGTAGCCTTTCCCCATTTCAGGCTGGTGGAGTGAGGGACATCCAGGCCCATGCTGTAGCCATTATGGGGAGTTGGAACAAATGACAGTAAGAAGGACTGTTCTCAGGTCAATACCTTCACCTCCAATGCAGGAGGCATTCTGAGAGGATTCAGAACTCACACAGAATGGTATTAGTCTCAGTCTCAGGGTCACCTTTGTCACAGAGGAATGCAGCTGCAGAAGATACCTGGGGTAAAAGACATAGGGACCTCTCCAAGAAGTCCCACATGCATGCAGCACTATCCATCAGGGAAACCCTGAACCTCAGCATGTTTTTGGGACTCCATTGCACAGGGTGACTAATTAGCAGATTGATCAGTCAGTGCCCTGTGGCTGATCAGTCTCTGCTTCTTTGTGGTCCTTGGGCCCCAGCAGACAAAGGCCCTCCTGTTAGGCAGGATGTTTCAGGAGCCAAGGCCATCAAATAGGCCTCCTTTAGAACAGAGCCTTCCCAGAGGTTACAGGGTAGGTGCTGCTGCAGGGAATCAACAATGTTTTCCTTTGTGGTGGCCTGGTGGGCAATCTTCTCCCTTTCCCTAACTCATACGTGGCTGACGGATATCTTCTTCTCCCTTGCTGCACACTGCCTGCTGCGCCAGAGTGATGAGGAGACAAGGTATCAAGGCAGTGATTCAGATTAAGTTTAAATGTCATGGTGAGCTCTGTAGCCCTTCCGATTGATCTGGCACTGTAGTCGCCTAGGCCCCTTGACCCAAGTTGACCCTTGCCTCCAGCCCCTCTCCCATGTGCCTTTCCCCTGCTTATAGTTGACAGAACTCTGATAGTTGTGCTATAGAGTTGCTTATAGGGAGCTGGGTTGTCATTTAGACATGGGCATGGCTCCACTGACTTCACAAGCATAAAGATAGGGGCATTTGCTGGGAGAACCATTTATGTTCACACACAAATGAATGTTCACAGTGTGGAGGCAGAGCCTGGATCCTGGGCCAGGTAGCAATGTCCCCTGCAACCTGCCCAGCTTCTGAGAAGCAACCTTCTTGTTTCTCCTGAGGCTTGTCTTGGATGCTCAAACCTCCTTGGCCTGAGATACTGCTGTCATGTTCCAGGGTGGTGATCACATCTGCCTGAGCTTAGACAGCTCCTTAGCCTTCCTTGCTTTAGGCTTTTCTCATACCTTCTATGTCTTATGGACCAGACTGCATCAAATCTGACTGCATTGTCACATTAACAGCAATCACCTAGTTGCTCCCTGACACTCAGGAAAGAAAAGGCAGGAAACAGACCAGGAGTGAGGTGAGCCCACTCTTAATATCTATCCTGCAGACTAGGAGTGCTCACCACATTGCACTGGGACCAACCCAGCATTTTAGGAGCATAGCCCACCAAAGGATGGCTTAGGGCAGGTTGCACACTGTAGACTGAGGGCCAGTGCCTGTGTATGCAGCCCCAAGCTAAGAAGGATCTTTTCTGTTAAGTGATTATGAATGCCTGCACAATAGCTTTAATTTTGCCTCTTGAGCCTCAAAGCCTAAAATATTTATTATAATCTGGTCTTTTAAGATAAAGTAATAGGATACATTAAATTTATGCCAATAATATTAATGTAGTACATGCAAAATTAATTTCTTTTCTTTTTTTAAGATGGGGTCTTGTCCTGCTGTCCAAGAAAGATCTGAACTTGTGGACTCAGGTGATATTCATGTCTCAGCCTCCTAAGAAAATGGGGCCACAGGAGTGTGCCACTATATCCAACTAAAAATACTGTCATTTAGTGGTCATAGTGGTACATGCCTGTAATCCCAATACTCTGGGAGGCTGAGATAGTAGGATCACAAGTTTGAGCCCAGCCTAGGCAATTTAGCAATTTAAAGCAGACCCTATCAAAATTTAAAAAAAAAAAGGGGGTTGGGGATATCGCTCAGTGTGAAGGTACTCAGGTTCAATCCCTAGTACAGGGGGGAAAGAATCATGTAACATAAAAAGCCTTGAGGTAGATTGATTGATTGATTTTGCCCTTTTTCACTCAAGTTTCCAAAATGAGGTCTGTGCTTTCTGTTGTGGCCCACATTGGGAACATCCCATTGAGGGACCCAGCAGCCATGTGGGCAGCAGGCTCTCAGCTATAATTTGCCTGGGGAAGAATTGTGATGGGTACTAACTCAGGGCATTGTGGGACCCACAGAAACATGAGAGAGCCACATCTGTGCCCAGACTGGCTGGAGGAAAGTGTCACCTAGAGGTTCCTAGAGGATCCTGGGGACTTGGGTCCTACCCAGAGACTGCCCAGAATCCTGGAGGGCAGTGGAACTTCTTTGCCCTAGCACCGAGCCCCTCTGCTTTTAGGAGTGGCGTCTGTTCCAGTTGTTCAGGCTGAAGGAAGGTGGGGGGTACCCCTGAGAAAAGCCCTGGAGCAGTCTAGATACCTGGACCTGCCTGTTGGACTGCCTGAGCCCAGCTTCCTGCATGCCCCTATTGGTCTTTGTCACTGGTCTGGTGCCTCTTTGTAGGATGTAGTCTTAATGGGAGTCTGTCAAAGGCAGAGTATCTCTCCAGGGCAGTGCAGTTATAGGCCCTGAGAAGTTGTCAGGTCATAGCTCCCATCCCAGTGCTCTGTTGGGCTCAGCTCTGCTCTGGGCTGGTAGTAGCTAGGCCTGGTCTGGTTGCTTCAGCAGGAAGAAAGGCCATTCCTAAGTCACCTCCAGATGTCTTGGTAAGGTTAGGAACCACTCAAAATACTTGCCTTCATTGGCCTTGAGGAGGTTTGCACTGTTCCTTGTTCTGTGGGAAGCCCTCTCTCAAAGTACAGAGCCAATGGGTACTACAGCCAGTGGGAACTAGCCTGGAGACAGGTGGAGTGTTTGGGGTGTCTGGATAGGTGGGACTCTCTCAATAGGACTTGGCCTTCTTTCAGCATCCTGAGAGGCTACTTGTTCCAGGGGCTAGGGTAGAGGTACTCACAGGTACCAAGTGCTGCTGGCATCTCACAGAGGTAGTCCCGACCCTAAAGCATCCTGCCTTGAGACTAAATTCATCTGCTGTCCTCTGGCCCTCTGGGGTACAGCAGACTAATTTTGTGGGCTTGGCTTAGCAATATTTTCCAGGGCTTCAGAATGTTACAGGGCCTCAGAAATTCCCGCTAACTTGGTGGCTGCCCAGCTGACTAAACTTGTCAGCAAGGGAGGCAGAATAGGTGCTCTGTAGTCCAACTTCAAGAGAAGATGTAGACACAGCAGCAAAGGGAAGCAGGCCCTGCAGGCTGCAGAGTCTGAGATGGAGGACATGGACCATAGTGACCCACACTTAGGAAGGTTTCCTAAGGTCAAGTGGATGTCTTAGGTCACTCCTGTGATATGGGGGAGGTGGACAGACTCACTGCGGCGTGGGAACTGGTAGGATGTGGGGGCTAGTCTGATGGAGAATAGTGGCTCCACTGTTGGCTGTGGGACATATTCTGGGGAACTGCTGGGCATGTAATATCATTGATTTATGACCTTGACTTATAATAGATAGACATTTTTGCTGGGGGAAAAGTATAAGGTTAAGCAAAGGTGCCTGTGTAGCAGCAGAGGTCCACATGCCTGCAGCTAGGACATTGCTCTGCAGTAGTGGTCCCTCAGGGCCATGAACAGTATGCCTTTTGCCACCTGCAGATCTGTAGGCTTTGCTCTATGAGGCAGAGCACTGCCAGGCCTGAACTCTTTATTTTTCTGCATTTGGTATTTTTCAGATTTTACAAGAACGGGGTTCAAGGATGTGAGGACAGTCTTGACAGCTGAAGAAACGATTTACTTTTTCCCAAGATATAGTGAACCGCCATGTCCAGGAAGCTTGGCTGTGAGAAGAAACCTGCTTTTGATCATTTCTCTAGAGATCTGGGTGTGGATCCTTTTTTGCTTTGGAGGTGGGTGGTGAGAGACAGCCCAGCTGTCAGAGACATGCCCATGGATGGAGGGTGGGCTGTCACTAGGGGCTTGCTCTTTTCTTTCCAAATGTCACATGGGACTGAGGCAGGATGTTCCTGATCAGCCGTGCAATCCTGAAGGTTATTTCAAGGGTAGGGCTTTTGGTGCTACATACAGTCTGCGATAAGTGACCCAGGCCTCAATGGGAAGAAGGGACAACAACAGCTCTACTGACTGTCCAGCACACCATGGGTTGGGGTCTGGGTGCCTGCTGGCCACTCCTTGAGCACCAGGCTCTCATCTTCAGGTCAGGGAGGCTGCTTTGCCTCCCGTATGATCAATTGGCGGTTTCTTTTGACCTTGGCTAAGGCTCCCAACAGAGGTAGCCTCCACATTGCTACTACTTCCCGGGCACCTGCTCTGAGGCCAGTCCTCCTTCCAGGCCAGGCTTTCCTCCTGGCTTCGTCAGCTGGACAGTTAATGCTTCTCAATTTGTATTTCCGAGGCAAGAGAAATTTGTAACCCTTTTTTTAAGCGTGGATAGACTACCTAATGTTTATACTCTTCAGAAATGCCTAAAAGTGTTGCTAGGTTTTGGCTTGGTCTGTTAAACCAGTTAATGGGAAATGAAAGTTTCGCCTCGTCCGTCCCACTTGGGGGCTCACGGGGGAGCTGGTGCCCACCAGTGCCTTTCTTGCGCCCGGGATGGAAGCTGGGGCAGGAGCCTGTGCACCTGGCTTCTAGAGCTGACACTCTGGGTTACACTGAAGCTCGGGATGTTTACAGTGCATCACATATCTCTCTGTGTCTCTTTTTCTCTCTCTCTCTTTTTCTTTTTCTCTTCTCTCTTCCTGCCTCCCTCTCTTCCTCTCCCTTTCTTTCTCTCCCTCTCTCTCTCTAGCTCTCATTTTCTATATAACTATGCAGTTTTTCTCTCTGATGTTTCTGGTGTGTTTGAAACTACATGACCTGCATGACTCCGCCTACCTGGCGTGACTTGGACCCTACTACCTGCCTGCTTTGAAGCAGACCTTTCTCAGCTGGTTGTAGGGACTTGTCTGCCTGGGGACAAGGCCCAAACAAGTGAGTCCAGCTTTTAACTTGTGGCTTCCCGAGGGAACTGTGCAAACTGACTACGGGGGCTGCCTACCTGCAGCCTAGAAGCTCTGACACTGGCTCATTTCAAATGTTCCTGGGAACCTCTTGCCTAGTCCCTCTTTCTCCTTTGCCAATAACCTGATTAACCAAGTTTTCCAGCATCCAGAACTTACCTCCTTTCATAAAGTCTCTTGTATGTTGTTAAATGTTTGACTTAAAAGAATTCATGAAAACATTTTTATAGGGCAGAAGTAGCCACTGGCTGACCCAGCTAAAGGTGGCCCCACTGTTGGCTGTGGGGACATACTCTGGGGAGCTGCCGGGCGAGTAACATCGTTTGATTTATGACCTTGACTTACAATACATAGGCTTTTTTTTTAATTTAAAAATATTGACTTCACAAAAGTTTATTCTAAGGGGGTATTTATACTTTTATACTTTTTTAGGTATCCGTGTTTTATCAGCTTACTGTTTAACGTCTAAGTTTCCCCTGGTATTAGCAAATAAAATTGTGTATTTATGAATGAGCCCAGCAGCTGTTAATGTCTTAAAATGCATGGAAAAGCTGCAGCTGGAATGGTCATTCAGCTGCTCAAGCCAGGATACCCCCTGCAGGACTGGTTCCAGCTTCTAGTCAAGGGACCCAGTGTGCCCTGAAGAGTTCAGCTATCTTTGGTTATCTGCTGCTACCAGTCAGTCCTATTTTCACTGATCAACCCAGCCTTGGCATGGACTGTCCTACCTGCCCAGTGTAAGGTGCAGGGAAGGGGCTGCTTATATAGGGACAAGGTGTGGCTTCTGGGTGTCCTGGATGAGAGATCACATGAGGGAGGAGTTTAAATTCTGCCTTGAGAGGTTTGCTAGTGGTAGCTAGGACCTGCCTATGCCCTTCAGCCTCAGCCAGAAACAGCTCTGGGTGCTCAGGAAGGCCTCTGCATGGTGATATTCCTGATCAGAATCCAGAGCATGTCCTATCAGAGCTGAAGGCTACAAATAAGACAGGCCAGAGCTCTTAGCAAAAAAGGCATTCTGTCCCCCTCAGGTAGACCTATCTGCCATGGGGTGTTTGGAGAGGGCTAAGGGGTACCAGTGCTGGCCCCTTCAGAAGTCTAGCAGACCTAGGCATGGTAGCACATGCCTGTAATCCCAGTACTCAGGAGACTGAGGCAGGAGGATTGCTGTGATCCCCCTGCCTCAGCCTGGGCTACACGCTGAGTTCAAGGCTCACCTTAACTACATAGTAAGACCCTGACTCAAGAAAAAAAAAAAAAAAGAAGCCAGTGATATAGCTCAGCAGCTTAGCGCCTGCCTGGCAAATGTGAGGTTATGAGTTCAAGGGTCAGTACCAAAAAAAAAAAAGAAAAACAAAACAAAACAGGAGAGAGGGAGGGTTTGTGGGTTGTGTGGGTCCCCAGTGGTTTCTGGTTCATGCCTGAAGCCTTCCAGGACTCTCTGTTGGAGCAAGAATCACACCTCTGGTTGGCTAGTACGATGGAGCCTGCATGGGGATAAAAGCCCCACTACTGCCACCTGGGGATAGGTGTGAGGTCTCTGGCATTGGAGGTTCCCCCTTGGTTTTCTCCTTCTACACCTCCTGCCTGCCCACATTTGGAACACCAAAGGTGATATCTGGAAGGGTCTTTTTGCCTTCAGGTCATCTGTCCCCACACGGGCTCCTGGGCCTGGGGTTGATTCTTACCTGGGGTCTTGAAGCCAGCAGGGACCCATGCTAACTGTTTTTCTTCCTGTGGCTTCATAGACTGATTGTGGTGCGTATGCAGTTGTGTGTGTGCATGGCATGTGCTTGTGTATGTGTGTTCATGGGTGGGGGACAATACACATGTGTGGCTGTTCTGGTATCACCTGCCCCCACTGAGGCTGGTTGCAGTGGCCTTCCACAGTGGTCGTGCCTGGGGGAAGGCTCCAGTCCTGGTGCCCTGCCTGGCTGCCTTGATCTATGCCAGCAGTTCCCTTCAGTGTTCTTCCTACAGCTGGCACCCCTGATGGCAGATCACTGGTAACTGCCTGGCAAATGTGTGGAGCATTATATCTTGAGTTGTACCCTGAACCCGGGATGCAGAAGGAAGCCTGTGGTAACCTGGGCGTTTCTCTTCTACAACCTTCTCACAGTACTGAGTTTGGTATAAGCTGTGAATTGCATGGAATAAACCTGTTTTCCTTTTCAACTCCTGGTTCTGTGTAGAGTTTTCCCTGCCTCCTACGGACAGTTGCCTGTGGAATCTCTTCTTGGGATTGGCCAGCAGATCCCAGGGGTATAGGTGAGGTGTGTGACTCTGTCTCCTCTGAACTCCTCCACCCTACCTTGGCCAGGGCTCCACACATAGCCCATAGCAGTACCTAGTCATCAGACCTGTCTCTGGGACCCCACAGCCTGCCCTGCCCTGTTGTCTGGGTGCAGGAACACCTGCCTCCTATTGAACAGATGAGTAATCCCTCCTGACCAGAGACCTAACCTGGTCTGGAGCAAGAACTCAGCAAATGACCCATCCACTGAGGTCACTGAGTACCTGGTAGGCAGTGGTGGCTGAGCTCAGGCAAGCCTAGGGAGATTTCTGGTGTTTTGACCCCCAGTGTTCCCAGGCTGAACCACAGTAGATGCTTGCTAAGTGATCATTAGTTTAGTATATAATAGTACCTGCTTCTCAGACTTAGGCAGGCAGGCTACACACAGTTGTATATGTCCTAATAACTTTAGACTTTGAGTGGGGAGATCAGCACTGACGGATAGGGTGGTGGGAAAGGAGCCCTGAGGTCAAGGGGAGAAGGACCTAGGCTGGTCCTAGAAGGGACTGAACAGTAGAGTAGAGAGTCAGAAAATGGCCTGGACATACTCCATGGTGACACGGCATTGTTTAGTGAAGTCTGGTGGGAGTGGTAATGGTTCCCTTAGGACACCCCTCCCTGCCCCTCATGAGTACCCTCGTCTCTCCCTATCCTAGTTATAGCCCCTTCAGTGGCACTGGCCATCTGTAATCAACTTTCTACCTGTGGTCTCTATCCACAGTGCTTGGTCAGGGCAGCCCTTAGCAGAGGATCAGGGTAGAAAAACTTGAAACAAAGTGACATCAGGGTAGTCTTCTGTGAGAAAATCTGGGAAAGTATTACAGGAACCCGGGGATATCCTAACCGGAGTGTCTGCAGTGTCCTATCCCATCAGGAACAAAGTCCTCTGAATCTTCTTCCATGTCACAGTTCCCACTTCCGTACTCTAAGGATTTTTGAGCAGGGCATTTGGCACTGATTTTATTGGAAATAAACATAAATAAAAATACCTGGCATTTAAGATAGGGCAGGATAGAGAGCTATTTACACATGTACATGGGTGGCATGTTGCCTAGTGGGGTGGACTTAGAGGACAGCGAATAGCACCCCAAGGACCAGCAGGGCCACATGGACAGCCTGGCAGGGGTCTTACTAATGGCCACCTATTTTGCTTGACTGGAACTTCAGCTCAGGGATGATACGGTGGATCCAATCATGGTGTGAAGTGACCCGGATGTAGACACCAGGGCGGTTCTGGCGGGCACAGCCCTCACCCCAGCTGATGACGCCAGCCTGTACCCATGTCTGGTTCATGAAGCACACCAGAGGTCCCCCGGAATCACCCTGTGGGGGAAGCAGAGTTCCTAAGAACCTACCTTGTACCACCAAATCCCAGGACACCCAACACTGACTCAAACCCTTCCATCTTTCCTCTCTACCCTTGGTCCCTCTTTTCCTACTAGAGTACCCTAGGTTCCCTGCTTGTCCATGGTTGGGAGGTTGAGTTCAAAAATGCACCTTCCCCACCCCCGACCTAACCAACTCCTAAAATAGGGTTCAAAGCTGTTGCTTCCCAATAAGCTTCCTGGCTGGTAGAACTCAGCACCCCATCCTGCCCTGGGCCTCAGGATAGGTCAGGTTCTTGCTTCTTTCCACTCTACCTTGCAGGCATCCTTTTTGCCCTCAGCAAAGCCTGCACAGAGCATGTCATCTTTGATGGCTTTGGGCTGGAAGCTAGATGCTGTATCTGTGCTGTAGAGTAGGTTGCACTTGGGTGTGTCAATGATGGGGACAGCAAGTTTCTGCAGGATCCGAGGGTTGGGCAGGTGGTCTAGGGGTGGGCAGGCCAGTGGACAGTCTTCAGCAGTGACCTGTGGCTCTGGATTCCCAGAACCATGATGCAGTGTGTCCGTGCCCAGGCTTCCCTTGTGTTCAGGTCTCTCAAGGGGCTGAGTTCCCACCCTCTTGAGCTCTAAGCTGGGTGTTCTGTGTCCCTAGCTCTTCCCTGTAGGGTGGCTGTTCTCCTCTGGACCTTTTCCAGGCCCGTCCCGCTTTCTCCCAGGGCTATCCCCCCTTACCTTGCTCACTGGGGCTGCCCCAGCCCGTAACCCAGCAGTTCATGTTTGTTTCAAAAACAACTGAGGGGTCAGGCATGCACACGGGGAGGATGTAGTTGGTGAAGGTCACTGGTGCTTCCAACTCCACCAGGGCCACATCTGCACTGGAGGCCATGCCCTGATACAGGGGATTGCTCTCTACCCGTTTCACATGGGCATAGATGGAGTGTGGCCCTGGCTGCAGCAGTTGCCGTGCCCCCAGCAGCACCCGGTACAGAGAAGTTTCAGAAGTACTAGAGGGAGAAAACAGAGGCCTAGAGTGGGCTGCCCCCTCGAGCAGGGGATGAGGGCCAGGGAGGCTATTGTGTGTCTCTGGCTCACTACATTTCCTGATGCTTTTCTGCATTTCATGTTCAAAACTAGCATCTTTAGAGGGGTGTTCTGCAAGGTCAGGGTGTAGAAGCTGCAGTGAGATCACTCACCTTTAATCTTCAGCTCTGTCCCAGGCCACCAGTTAGACAAGTCGCCTAACAAGTTTCTGTTAACTCGTTTCCTCATTTATAAGGTGGGGACAGTGACAGTCCTTCCAGAAATGCCTGCTTTGAGAGCTGAAGGAGGTAGCCACCCACAGGAGCCATGGGGCCCAGCCTTGCTCTGGAGCCTGGAGCAGCCACCCACTCTGAGGGTGTTGAGTAAAAAAATGTAGGTTTTTACTAGAATCTCAGAACTGCACTGAGGTGAAAGGAGAAGGGTTGGGAACCTCAGAAGTTTGGAGTCAGGTGGCTTATAACAGTGATCAGGACTGAGGGCCTGGCCACTTTCTTGGGGATTATAACCCCTTAGGGGGAAGGGGAGGAGATATTCTATTCTAGTCCTTGGGTTTGTCTAATACCAGAGTCCCAGAAAGGGGACTCAGGGTGGGAGGAAGATAGGGGAAGAGGGCCAGAGTGCTAGGGAAGCCTGGAACATTTTCTGGGGCCTAGTTGTGGCACAGTGCCTTATTGGCGAGTTGGCTGGTGCAAGCCAGGGCTGAGGCAGTGATTGCAGCTGCAAGAGAAGATCTGAACTTGGGCCTAGAGGAAAACTTAGCTAGGAAAGCAGGCAGGTGCTGGACCAGGCTGCCAGGGCCCACAGGGGCATGTGGGTTTGCTGCAGATTGGATGCTGTCCATGGTGCTAAACCAGCATCAGGCTTTGTCTTGTCTCTGCTCACTGGGGCAGTCACAGGGGTGGACAATAGGCTCACTCACTTGTAGAAGCAGTGTGCTGCAGTGAGCACCCACTGCTCTGTGATGAGGCTGCCCCCACAGAAGTGGCTTCCGTTGCGCTGGATGCTAACCTGCCAGGGCCATTCGCCCTCCATGGCATCCTGCCCGCCCACCATCCGGTTCAGCATCCTCCGGTGCCCGCAAACTGGAGAAACATGATGGAATTACTGGGAGCTAATTGCATGGCTTTGACTCCAGCCCCAATCCCATATGCCAGCTTCCATTTTATACGCCATTTCTGGCCTTCCTAGCCGCTGACCTGCTTAGGACCTTGGGAGTCAGACCTTCGCTATCCCTATGCCATGAGCCTCAGTCCCTCCACTGGGAATAGGTGCCATAAGACCTGCCTCTAGCTTTTGGGCATTGAGGCACCAAATGGAAAGACCTTATCCCTAGGCTTGACACGGGTCCTGGAAGGATGGCTGGTGTGTCTGCCTTTCACAAAATAGGCAGCCCTGAGAGACAGCTCTTCTGCAATGAGAGAACCTCTGACTTAGAGGTTCCCCAGGGCCCTATGCCTTCCTTCTGGACCTTGTTCCATGTGTATGGCCATGCCCGTCCATCATCCTACAGTTCAATCACACCCACTTACCTACTGGTATCTTGGCCTCTTGAATCCCTGAAAGTGAAGAAAAGGAGTCATCAGCTTACTTTGCCAAAGCCAGGGTCCATTTCATCCTTCACCCCCTTGCCTGATCAGCAACCCCCATCCTCTCCCTGGCTCTGGGAGCTCAGGAGGGATAGTCACCATGGCATCTGGGGGGAGAGGCCAAGATCACTCAGCTTCTAGCTTGGCCTGTGAGCAAAGTTTATCTGGGAAGAGATAAACAGGCCACATGTGGAACTGACCAGGAGAGGCCAGTGCAGAGGCTGTGTGCCAGTGTCCCAGGACTCCACATTCCCCAGAACTGAGCCATCTCAGGGAAGGATCCCCTGCTGTCCTCAGACCTGCTGCTCAACCTTCACTGCATCTCTCGAAGCTCCACTACAGGCTCAGTGCCCAGCCAGGGGGCTGCCTCAAGAGAGACCTCTCTGCCCCACCCTTCCTGTCACCTGTTCCTTGTAGCAGGTCCAAAAGAGCTAGAGAGGACAGTCTCCCTATGCCCCATGTACTTGAGGAACTCAAAGTATGGAGCCAGAAAAGGTAACCAGTCCTAGTGTGCTGATGGGCTGCAGGGAACAGGACGTGTCTTCAGTGAGCCATGCATGGCCTAGGATCCCTGAGGATCCAGGAGGTGTTAGAGTACCTCATTTCTCCTGTCAGGCTCCCAGTGTCTCCTCAGTGCCATTGGGGGACAGGGAGATGGAGAGGCCACTAAAAGGAACCTGAGAAGACTCAGCAGACCTGCTTGCTTCTCAAAGTGAGGATGTCAGGCAGGTTGTAGGTCAAGTATGGTGCTGGACCAGGTGGACAAGAAGCAGGTAACTCATTTTCACAGTGGCCCTTAAATGCCCTGGGTGGATTATCCCAGCATCTTAGCATAATATCATTTGACACTGACTCTGCCTTTTCTGAGGCTTACGCTTACAAATGCTGCTTCCAGCTTATCCACCCTTTGTCCTCATTGACACTAACATACTTGAAGCTTCTCTGTTCCTCCTTTTGGCTTTCCCTGCCTCAGACTCCCCACAGCATTTCCTCCCCCATATGCATGTCTGCCTTCCCTACTGTAGCTCAGCTGCTGCTCTTTTTAGGCTGAACCTCCTGACATCTCCAGGTTCTAACCCAAATCAAAGCTTCAGCGAATTCCTGCCTTCTCTAGGAAGCTCCCCCTGCTTGTCCTGTCCATCTTTAAAGCCTCAGTCCCTCCCTTGAGCTCTTTGTCCTTCTACTGGGCATCACATCTTACCCCTAGGCACAGTCCCAAGAGCCCCAGGAAGGCAAAGCCTACCTCTGCGATCCCTAGCTTAGGGAATGTATGGAGAAACAATACTGTGGGGATCTGAGTAGGAGAGCTTAGCTTTTGTGGGGTGGGCATCTTGTCAGGTTGGAGGGCACAGTCAGGGTGTCAGATCTCCATCCTGGGCCCAGGACCCCTGGTGACCCTGTAGCTAGTTGAAACCCTTGGGGTGTTGGGCCTACAAGAGCTGCTGAAGATAGCATCTGGGATTGAGTCGAATGCAGCTTCAGTGCCCACTCTGACCATGACCTCAATTGTTCAGCCTCCTGGAATAATTTGAGGTGTTACACTATGGAAATGGGCTCACTGAAAGGATGCTGTTACTTGCCACTGCAGGAGGTCTGCCTGGTGAGGCTGGTCAGTGAGGGGAGACTGAGGCCTCCCTGCAGAGAGGCACCCTAGTGCTCCCCCAAGAATGAAGAACCTGTGGCTGGGGATTTAGCTCAGCGGTATAGGCACCTGCCTTATAAGCAGGCAGTCGCGAGTTCGATCCCTGGTACCGATAAAAAGGGAAAAAAAAAAAAAAAAAAGAATGAAGAACCTGGAGCCTTGGCTGAGCTGTAGTCTGAGGTGACCTGTTCTGGCCCTGGGAGGTGACCTGAGGACAGGGAAGTATGGCTGCTGGGCTGGCCTGGCTGGCCCAGGAATGTGGAAGAGTTTCCCTGGCAGAGAGGGGCCCGCCCTGTGGGGAGGAACGTGGCAGGTGGGCCCCTGGCTGGACCCTGCTGGCCTGGCCATGGATGGTAATACATTCTCTACTTGCTTATACCCTATCTCATGCTACCCAGTTGTTAGCTGAATGCCAGCCTGCTTCCAGGGTCCCTAGGCTTAGATGACAACCCTTGCTCAGTTCCACTTCTAGATTTGCTGTGGTGGTCCTGGGACTTGGAGCCCAGCTGGCCCAAGTTCAAATCATGCATACATGAAGCTTTTCATCTGGTGAGCAAGGGAGCCTCAAGTCCAGTGCCACATACACTATGCGTACTTGGGAATGTGGGTTGAGGCCCCCATCAGGTTGCTGCCATAGGGTCCCACTCTAACCTAAGCCTGCCTCAGGACCCCTAAGTGAAACATCTGGAGTGTGCCAGCCTGTCCTAGGGCCTCTAACACTGGGCAGGGAGTGGTGACCCAGATGGAATTCCTCCAAGGAAGCCAGGGACTCTAAAACTCACCAAACCTCAGCAATAGGAAGAGCAGGAGCAGCAGGAGGGGTATGGGGGCCAGGTATCGCCTCATGTCCTCAGGCTGGCAAAGCTGGGCCAGGGTCGGCAGTGGTGGAGGGAGCTCCTGGCACTTGTGAGGCACTGGGCTCCATGAAGTGGGGTTTTATGCTGGAGGTGACTGTTGACTGGGCTATGCCACCCAACCTGTTGGCCTGCTCCACCCAGCTCTGCTCCAACAGGAAAGAGGCACCCTGAACCCCAATTCTGACCTGGTCCTGAACCCCTCAGGCTAGAGCACTTACCCAAACACACCTGCCCCATCCAGAGAGTTCCTCACCATGAGCTGACCAGAGATACCCCCTAGCAGGCCCACATGAGCTGGCCAGGTCTCCCCAGGAGATACTACCTGCTTTATTTGTTCACTTAACATTTATTGGGAACCTACTGTGTACACGGCTTCAGTTATCTACAGAGTCAGTTGGAACTTATACTCCGATAGTAGGGCAAGATCAGGGGAACAGTGAGGAGCAGGGTAAGGGGACTCAGGACCTGGAATGACCATTGGCCCTCATCATACCCCTCCCAGGAAGTGAACCCAGCAGCCCCCACCCAATGTGAATCCTGGGGACCCGCCCAAGTGCCAAGTGCCAAGCCCTGGCCCAAGTGCACCTGCTGTGGGCCGGGTAGGCGGGGTAGAAGCTGGTTCTGGGAAGGTGGCTGATGACCAGCCTAGTGGCTGTTCTGTCTTCCCTGGGCACTCCCAGCTTTGGGACATGCAGCCTCAGCAGGAAGAAAGTATTTGGGGCATGGGGCTAATATCAAAGCTGAAGGAGAGCGCTTTAGTAACTACTCTTAATTGGCTGCAGCATGAGGAGTGGCAGCAGGCCTCACTGCAGACTGCCTCAGTTTCCCCACTGACCTTCATTTCCCACATTGAGTTGCAATCCTTACCTTGCCAGCCCCAGGGTCTCCCTGCACTTGGCAGCTGCCTGCACCAGAAGCTATACCAGTGCACTCCCTGGGTGCTAGCTTGCCTTCACTTTTGGTCTGCCCATTCCTTCCCTGTCCCTGAGCCTCTGTGGCACAAATAATGGGTTGCCCTTGATGGCAGGCAGGACACTCATTCATATATTCAACAAGTATTTGGGAGTCATACTGATTGGTGCCCAGGACTTCTAGGTATGGGGATAGAGTGAAAACTCATGGATACAAGGAGTAACTTAGAGGGAAAAAAGATCTAGTTATACACTGTGGAAAGTCTCAGAACATCCAGGTGGGTGACCACTCTTCTCCAGGCACCCAGCCATCAATTTCTGTTATCTTAGAGGCAGTTTTAAATGCTCTGCTCCAAGACTCAGGACTTCTCATGGGCCTCTGTCTCAGGTGTCCCTGTTCTCCTTCCTTATTTACTTACTTTAATTTAGAGACAAGGTCTCCCTATGTAACCCAGGCTGGCCTTAAACTCAGTGATCTTCCTTCACTGGCCTGAGTGCTGGGATTATAGCCATGCATTGTTACGCCCTGCCTCTTACCTTTTTAAAGCCAATTTTCCTTAAAGTCAACCAGGCAACTGGAAGCAAAGATCCCAGGAAAAAGTGATCTTCCTAGCAAACCAAACCAGAGTCAAGTCTCTAGCAGTCTTCAACATTGCTGTTGAACTTGCTAACCCAAAGCAGCAAAGAAGTGGCTGGAAGGAGCGTGTGGAGTAGAGAGCCGGGCCTTCCTCCCACCACCCACCAAGAAAATAAAGGGGAATTGGGAAGCATTCTAGTCAATCTCACCTAAAAATTAGTTGAACTGGACATATACTAACTCTGGCTGGGAGAGTATTTTCTAAGGTTATAATCACAGTAGACATCACAAAGAAAAGGAAGAGCTAGGCTTGGCATGGTATATCACACCTGTAATACTAGCATTGGGAGGCTGAGGCAGGAGGACTGCCATGATTTTGAAGCGAGCCTGGACTACACACTGGGTTACATAGGCCCTGCCTCAAAAAACAAACAAAAGCAAAACCTGTGGCCTGGATGTAAATTTAAAAAATGCAAGCAACATTGGTTGTAAGTAAAAAGACAATAGGAAAAATACATGTAAGAAATATGGTCGAGGGGCTGGGGATTTAGCTCAGCAGCATAAGTGCCTGCCTTGCAAGTGTGTGGTTGTGAGTTTGATCCCCTGGTACCGATAAAAAAGAAAAAGACAAAAAAAAAAAAAAAAAAAAAAGAAATATGGTCAAATACAGATAACCATTGTTGCCTAAGTGCTATGGAAAGTGGTCAGAAAGCTGGGCATAATGTTGTGCCTCTAATCCCAGCTAGCCAGGTGGCTGAAGCAGGAAGATTGCAAATTTGAGCCCAACTCGGGCAATTTAGTGACCTATCAAGACTGTCTCAAAATAAAAAAGCCTGGGGATGTAGCTTACTGTGCAGACTCTGAGTCAAACCCCAGTGCCAAAGGGGTGGGGGAAGACGAAGGGGAGAAAAAAAAAGAGAAGAAGACAAAGAATAAAGAAATTGGTCAGAAAAACACTGCGCCCTATAAATAAAATGGGTGAAAACACAGATAATTCACCAGAGAGGAAACTAATTTGGCCAGGGGACTTGCTGAGAAATGTTTAGCCTGAGTAATTAAAAGAATGCAAATCAAACCACAGCAAGGTGATGCCAGTGTTCCCATCTGAGGTTAATACGGTGTTGGAGGAATGTTATTAGTCAGGGCCACCTGGAAATGGGTCAGCGGGTGAGCATGGGACTGGCCCTTTTGTCCTGTGTGTGTTGCATCAAAGAGTTATTCCCTTTGAAGATGACTGTCACTGCAAATCCAGTTTATATTTGCAAAAACAAAGTTTTCAGGATGACAGTAAATATATACTCCAAGTAGAACTTACAAAAATCACATTTTTAGCTGGATGTAGTGGGGAATTCCTTTAATTCCAAACATTGATACCATTGTCTAAAGTGCTAAAGAAATTGTTCAGAAAGCTAGACATATGGGAGCCTCTAATCCCAGCTAGTCAGGAAGCTAAGGCAGCAGAGCCACAAGTTTGAGCCCTGCCTGGGAAATTTAGGGGAAAAAAAAAAAAAAAAAAAAAAGCTGGGTATAGTGGTGCATGGCTATAGTCCCAGCGACTCGGGAAACTGAAGCAGGTGGATTACTGACTGTGAGGTCAAGGCCAGCCTATGCTACATAATGAGACTGTCTCAAAGAAAAAAAAAAAAAGCATAAATATTTGTAGAAAATGAAGTAACTACAAAAATGTAAATTTTACAGTAGCAGCAAAAACATCCAAAGAAAAGGTTGTAAAATGTTCAGCACTGACCAATAGTTCTGAATCATATGGTTTTCTTTAGGAGCAAGTAATGAGGAGCCTAGATTTGTGGGGTACAGTGGGTATTCATAAAACCTTTGTGTGGTACTCGAGAACCCAGAAGTAGAACTGACAGTCTCTCCATCCCACAGAGCTCTGATGCTCTCTGGTGGGGCCCTAAACTCAGCTGTTTGAGATGACCCCCCCACACACACACACACATACACAGAGCAGGGCCAGGGCTGCTGCTGGAGTCTTACATAAGGAATTCTGACTAAGAGGACCAGAGTTTCCTATCTTCCCATCCTCCAGTCCATGCAGTATTGGTGATCCACTAGTGGGATATTAACAGGCCTACCTGGGCTCCTGGCCCTGTGGTTGACCCCCCAGAGGCGGGGACAGGTGCAGGTTGGTGAGAAGCAAGAACACTATGCTCTCATGTAAATATAGTAATGAAATAGACATTTTCACACATGAAAGTTGTCAAAAACTTTACCCCCAACCTCCACACTACTCTTAGGAAGCCATTGGAGGGAAGACGGTCTCCAATCAAAGGAATAAATAAAATAGAAAAAAGAAAATATAGGCTGTAGGAAACAGACACGAGAGTGGGAATAGTGGTACACACATGTAATCCCAGTGACTTGGGAAGCCTGAGGCAAGAGTATCACGGTTTTGAGGCTAGCATGGGCAACTTACTGACACCCTTGTGGCATCATATTCCAGCACTTTCAAGAGGCTAAGGCAGAAGGATCAAAATTCTGTGTCCAATTGAATATAATGGCACGCACACTGTAGTCCTAGCACTTGGGAGGCTGAGGCAGGAGGATTGCTGAGTTTGAGGCCAGCCTGGGCTAAATAGTTCTAGACCAGCCTGAACACATATGAGACTGTCTCAAGGAAAACAAAACAAAACATAGCGGGGGCTGCAGCTCAGTGTGAATGCCCTGGGTTCAATGCCCAGTACTAGGAAAAAAAAAAAAGAAAGAAAGACAGAAAGAAAGTAAAAGAAAAGAAACAGCACTGCAAAGTGCTGCAATTCCTCACCACAATGCTGAAGGGAGATTCTAGATGGCAACTGTGCTCTAGGTTTAGAGGCCAACTGGTGGCCTTTGGACCCTGTGACTCAAGGAACCAGCATGCTGAGACTCGACCTACTGAGGCTACTGATGCAAGTTGAGGAGGAGAGAGACTTAAAGTCCAAACTAGGAGAAAGGCGGGTATAATTCCCAGGGTGACGGTGTGGACAGCTGCAGGAGTGCCTGGGGAGCAGCCAGCACAGAATGAAGGGGAAGACAGTTTGGGGCTGAAAGCAGCATAGGAGAATGGAAATAATGTTTTCCGTAGGTTGCCTTACGACTGTCCTATTCCATGCTATATTAACATCACTGTTCATGCTTGCTTTCGACAAGTGTTGGCCTGGAATATCCTTTTTCAGTTCTGTATTATCTTTTATTATTTTTAATTTTTAAATTGTGTTTCAGATGGGGTATCACCCCCAGCCTCCACCAGGTCTCTTCTAGCTTCTATTGAATCCCAAATCAGGCTTAGGTGCCGCCCAGAGAGAAGAGCACTGGCTCCCCCTGCAGGCCATAGCGGCACTGAGGCTGCCGGCTCAGAGAGAGGTGTCCTGGTTTGTTTTTGCTGTTCCTTGCTTCTTGCTTAACTTTGCCCTTGTCAGCCCTCCTGTATGTACAGTGTGGGTGCAGAAGTCCAGTATTGATGCAGAAGTCCAGCTCCCTCTTGTGCTTACACAGTAAATTAAAAGTTAATACCTACATTTAACTCCTTCCTTCCAAACCACTCAGTGGGGTTCTACTTCCCCACTGAAGTTAATATCCACGAATGAATTAATCGAACAGGTAAGTGCTATCTTAGGTCAATGTCACTTCAAATCATGAGAAATCAAAAATTATTCACACTGATTCAATAAACATAATTTAAAAATTGGTGAATGTGGGAGCCGGGCATGGTGGCTCACGCCTGTAATCCCAGCACCCGGGAGGCTGAGGTGGGAGGATAGTTGCAAGTTCAAGACCAGCCTGGACTACAAAGTGAGCTCAAAGCCAGCCTGAACTGCATAGCGAGACCCTGTCTCAAAAAGACAAAAAAAAAAAAAAAAAAAAAAAAAAAAAAAAAATGGTGAATGTGGAAAACAGTATATCTTATCATTTATAAAAGTTTGTATAATTCAAAGCTGTAAACTTAAGGGAAAAATAAAGAATATGTT